TTTTAATAAAATATTAAATATTAATTTTAGTAATATAATAATTATATGAAAAATATAGTTTAATATATATTTTATAATTTTATTAGAAGAGATTTTTTAAAAAATTTTTAAAATTTATATGTTTGTAAACTAACTAATAAAAGTCATAAAATTTCTTAGTAAATTATAAAAAGTGTAATAATTAAAGATAATAAATTTTATAATATTCTATTATAATTAATATTACTAAAAATATAAATATTAATTTTTTTTTTATGTGCAGTAGCTTTGCATAATCTTTATTTAAAAGTAAAGTAAAATTTTACAAAATTATAAATTATAAGATAGAGAGTACAAAAATTTCTATTTAGCAATAAAACTAAATCAAAATCAATCTTGTACTGTTTTAGACTAACCTACCTAAATAGGCTTAGAATAAAGTTCAACTATCCAATATAGGAAGTGTGGTTGTTATCGATCTAAAAATTCAACCAGTTCGTATTAAACTTAAAAAAGGAAATAAAGTATGGAGGAATACTGAAATCGTGTGGTGATGATAAAGGAAAACTAGTGTTGGTGAAATATAATTTTCAATTATTGAGTGAGATGTTATTGAGGTAAATATAAATATTAATAAGATTATCAAAGATCAAAAATAAAATTTTAATTTATAATTTTTTAAAAATACAAATTTTTAATTTATAAATAATTATAAATTATTTATTATATAATTAAAAAATAAAAATTACTATAATTTAATATAGAGTAAATTTATTTATTGTGAAAGTGATATTTCTTATATATTATTTTTATATATATATCTTATTCTAACCCTAACCTTAACTTTAACCATAATTCAACTCTAAACTATGTAATACTAACATATATGACAAATTAGATTTCACACATGAAAAATTTTCTAAGGTTTCAGAATATATATAAAAAATGAAAAGGGTAAGAGTATAATACAAGTGATAAAAAGAAGGTAATTATATCATGTCTGTAATAAATAAATTTATTCTTTGATATATACTTATAAAATTAATTTAAAAAAAATTTTTTTTTAAAAATTTTAATTTTTTATAAAAGTAAATCAGAAGGGAATTTATAGTAAATAAGCAGGTAAAGTTGCATGTGAACTTCTATAATTTAAGGGATAATAATATTATAATATATAACATATTATAATGTACTATCTATAGTTAACACTATTCTAATTAAATTAATTTTTATCTTCTATTTAATTAGTTTTATATTTTTAAAATTTTTTTTTCTAATTATTTTTGATATAGAATTTTTAATACTAAATTAAGAATTTTTGTTTTCAATTTAATGAAGACTCTATCTATTTGAAATAATTATTTTAAAGTATTAAATACAGATTTAAAATTAGACATATTATCAATATATATTTCTTGTGAATTGTAATAGTTAGATAGAGTATTAAAGATTGATTTTTTTTTAAATTTAAATTATATTTTATATGATTATTTATACAAATTAATATTTATAGTAGAATAGTTAATTAATAAATTATAAGAAATATAAGAAAGAAAGAAATCAATATTAAAAAAAAATAAAAGAAATAAAGAAATTATTCAATTAAGATAAAATATGATTAACTAAATATTGTCTAATCTAAGTATGTGAAAAAAAAAATATTGAAAAAAATTCTATTAAGTAGATTTACTTAAAAGTTTAAATAATTGAGTTATATATATATATATTAAAATATATAAAATAATATATTAACTATTTCAATTATTTTAAATATTAACTAATTTAACTATTTCAACTATTTTAATTATTTTAGATATGTTAAATATGTTAAATATATCAAATATATTGATTATATCAACTATATTAATTGTTATTATATAAGTTATACTATATAAATCAGTTATATCTTAATAGTTTAATCACAATATAAACTTATATACTTTATATAAAAATTATATATTATAAATCCAAATATTAATTTAAGTACTATTATTTTTATTCTTGATTTATAGTTAATTTGCATATTACAAAGTTATTAAAAGATTCTATTTTGATAATAAAATAATATTAGAAGTATTAATAATATTAAAATTAAATATTTGAATTCTTTTATTATCTTAAATATATTTATCTTTATTTAATACTTTATTAAAATTATTAGTTTCAAAAATAATTTTTATAAAAAACTTTAATATATCATTTTTTATTCTAAAAATATTATTTGATATTAAATTATTTACTATTAAACTATATTTAATTAGTTTTTAATTTAAATATTTTGAATTTTAAAGATTGAATTTTGACTGTTTATTCTCTTAATTATAACTTTTTTTTTCTAAAATTAAATTTTATTTTTTATTATTGATTCTTTTTCCTTTATATTAAAGTACTAAAACAGTATTGAAAAAACTAAAAAAGTCAATTAAAAAATATAACTTTTTATATTTAAAATTACATAAAAAAAGAAAAGCAAATCTTTCAAAATTTGAAAGAAATTTATTTTATAGATAATAAATATATATCAAGTAATAAAATTATTATGTAAAATATAATTATTTGAAGTTAAATCTATAGTTAAGTTTATTTTAATCTTTTTATAAATATTAATAATTTTAAATTTTCAAATATATTAGAAAATTTTATGAAAAAATTTAATTTTATAACAAGTTAATAAACATATTATGTAATATCTTCTAAATGATCTTTTACAAAAACAACAAAGTTTTTTTTAATTTTATTTAATATTAAAGAATTCAATATGATTATCCTTTAAAATATATTGATAATATAAATGAGGCTCTAGTTATTTTTGATTACCTTCAAATATAACATTAAATCAACTTGATACTTTAACAATAACTTTTCATATAACTAATCATAATTTACAATTGTTTTATTATGTTTGGCTGATGATAAACTTCTAGCTACTTGTATTTTTAAATTAAAAAATATTTTAAGAAAGCAATTTCTTCAATATTTTAATATTTGTATAAATGAAAATAAAATGTTATTGTAAATTAAAATATATGAAATCAACATAATCTGTTAAATAATCCTTAATTTCTTCTAGTTTTAGATTCTTTTGAGGCATTTAATTAATACTGTTAAAAACAGGTTTTTTAAAAACAAATAAATATAGCAATAATTCCAGATGGTTTAACTAATAAACTTCAATCATTAGATGTTTCTATTAATAAAGTGTTAAATCTAAATTGAGATAATACAATTAAGATTGGATGGTTTTAAAAATACATCAATTAATACTAGCAGGATATATTAAAACCAATTTATCTATAATTTCTAAATGGCTTATGGACTTATGGAATGATGTTAATACTGTTCTAATTTACAAATAATTTAAATGTTATGGAATATCAGTAGTTAGAGATGAAAGGAAATATTTATTATTTGATTATGATTCTTTATCTGAAATAAACAAAAGAAAAAATAATGGAGGAAATAATATTATCATGAAGATGAAGTAGAAACTAATGAACCGGATAATGAACCTAAAGATGATTTTCCACTAGAAGATTTAGAATTTAATGAATATGATGAAGAAGAATTACCAAATTATGAAATGTTTGGAATTAGTTTTTTTTTGAATTTTTACATATATATCAAATAAATCAAATTTTATATCTAAATAATTTACCCCCGAATACGATACATTTTTTAAAAACAAAAATTTAAAACTTTGGTGTTTAATATCCGGGGTATGATACGTTTTTTTCCTCGTGAGTAGTGATGTACACTTGGAAGTTTGGAAGCACCCTTGGAAGCACTTTTGGAAGGGTTGGAAGCATAATTCTCTAATGAATTCATTTGGATTGGAAGCTTCCAATCAAATTTCATACATTGGAAGCATAAAATGCACATCACTGCTCGTGAGGGTACAATACCAGGGGTACTTTAGTTAATTGTATATGGTATACAGACAGGAGATTTGTATCACTAAATTATGAAAATTTCCATTGCGAACACGGCAGATCTCTGATTACATAATATGCTGTAAAAAGTAAACGTTTTTTTTAAACGATTATCTTTATAAATTCAAACTGGTTATCTATATCTCAATCTTTTTAAAAAATGGCAGCACGTGGAGGTGTCAATGCAAAGGGTGAAAATGTACCACAGCCTGTCAAAGTACAACGGTACTGGCCGGGAAAGGCTCCAAAAGGAGTAACGGAGTACTCGTCTTCTGAGGAAGAAGAAGAAGAACATTTTGAAAGACAAAAGGAGATAGATCTAGTGACTTCCATTCAAAAAATCGAGATAACTGAACAGGAAGCTGCTACAGATCGTAGATTGAGGAGATTAAAAGAAGCAAAAGAGACAGCGAGCTCGCAAATACTAGATAGACGTAGGAGGCATTTAGAAGACGACGAAAATGAAGACTTACAAAAGGATCAAATACATGTAGCCGAGGATTTGCAAGAAGACGAATTAGACGATGAAGCCGAAATTCGGCGTCGACAACTTAAAAGGTCTCGTGTATTAGAGATGCGACGACAGGAAGAAGAAAAATTAAAAGCTCAAGAAGAAGAAGAAAGGGCACAAGCTGCAAGACAGGAAGATGTAAGGTTATAATTTGATTCCGACTTTCTATTCATCAGAATATAAGATTAAATTTTTTAATTAGGAAAGTGATAGCGAGGAGACTTCAGAATATGAAACAGATTCCGAAGAGGAAGAACAATCATCAAGAAAATTATTGAAGCCCGTATTCATACCAAAGTATGAACGGATTTTTCTGAAGTACGATAGGTGATTATTAAAACGCAAGCTAACTGTTAATATTTATTTATAGAGCGCATAGAGAAACGGTGTTGGAAAGAGAAAGAATGGCGAAATTAGAAGAAGAAGCCGAACTCAAAAGAATACAAGAACTTGAGGAAAGGAAAAAAGAATCACATGCGATGGTTGCAGAAGTAGTTCAAAAAGCGTTGCAAAAAGAGGGTTAGAGTTAGCATTATTATTTTTAATTTGTATAGAGTTTCTCGGCATGATGCTTATCCTTTGATTTATAGTGAATGAGGATACTGGATTGCAAGAAATTGATGATACTGATGGCCTAGATGAACAGGCAGAATATGATGAATGGAAATTGCGTGAATTAAGAAGAATTAAGAGAGACAAAGAAGAAAGTGCAGCGTACGTGTTTTTTTTATTTATTTTTTTTTTTTAAAAAAAAAAAAGCTGAACAAATACATTAACCACTTAATTATATCGGTTAATCAATCACAGGAGGGAAAAAGAACGTGAAGAGATTGAGCGCAGACGTAATATGTCTGAAGAACATCGTATGAAAGAAGATATGGAACGTATCAAAAAACAGCGTGAAGAAAAACCCAAAAGTCAATACAAATTTCTACAAAAATACTATCACAAGGGCGCATTTTATTTGGTACAAATATATCTTTATTTTCTTTAAATTGAAGTATTTATTCATTTATAAAAAAAAAAAATTCTAAAGTTTTTTTTTTTTTTTTACATGTACATAGGAAAATGAAGATGTTTTTCAACGTGATTATACTAAAGCAACTCCAGACGAAGTGGCGCACAAGGAAGATTTGCCCAAAGTGATGCAAGTTAAAAATTTCGGTCGTGCAGGGCAAACTAAATGGACGCATTTGGCAGATCAAGATACATCAACGGTTAGTAAATCGTCAATCTTTGCCTGTATAATTATCAATGTATTTATTCCCTTACTTCTTTTTAGAAAGATGTGCCTTGGAATCAGAAAACGGAAATTAATAAGCGAACGATATCAAAATTGGGTGGTTTACATGGAGGTTTTGATAAGCCCACAGCAAAGAAAAGGAAATCATAAACAAATATAATAGTTTTTCGTTCGAAGCGGTAAGTAAACTTCTTTGTTTTAATTTATTCCGCTTTTCTTTTCCTCAAATGATCATTTCATGAGCGAATCCACAAGTTGAGAAGGAAACCTTTGTTGGATTTATCATGAAAAATCAATTGTTAATGCTTGAGCGGTTAATCGGAGAAAAATCAGATTATAACCGATTCAAGGAGCCGCTTAGACGTTTCTTGTAACATATCCAAATTAGACTTACTTTTGTCGTAAAACAAGGTAATAGAAATCTTTTCTAAATTATATATTTATATCCTCGAACGATGAGATCGACATTAATATGAGATAATCCAGTATAGTTTCATTGAGTTCTTTGCATAATCGAATATTATTCATTATTATTTTAACTATAATATAAAAGGTACTTTGTGTTATAAATTAAACAGTAGCCAATCCAATAAACAAAAATCAAAAAAATGAATCTTCATTAATATAGATTAGATAAATCTTTTGCCAATCTGTTTATGTCACAGTAGCATAATTTAGACTCTAGAATGTCACTCATTGTTTAGATTTCATGTGATTGATTTGGGAAGCAATGAACAAATTTGTTTGATTTTTTCCTATTAATTGATACCTATACAAATCTTTATTTTTGTTCGAAAATAACAATTATTAGAAGGATAAATTATCACGTGGTCATTACATTCGATCAACAATTCTACCAATAAAGGCATGGCGTATTCACGCGATTCGCGTTAAATTGTTTTTTCTTTCGCCTGCAAGTTCAAAAAAAAGGACATATTACTTTAACCATTTTAAATGCAAAGCAAGCCTAAAAAAAAAAAAAAATTCGCCGATAGCGTTCTTTTGTCAATTATTCCCACTTTAGGAATTATGATAAATTTAAAAAATATTCTTAACCATTCACACTTTTTCTCTCCACAATGAAATCTCAATAAATCTTTCACATGTAAATTTCACTGTATAAGTGCACCGGTATTTTCCTACTAAACACAGATAATTTGTTCTCATTTAGTTGTTTGTCTTCACAAAAGATACATTGATCCATGCCAAGCTAACATCATACAGTTACACCTAAAATGAAATTCCGAAAAAAAAAAAAAAAAAAAAAGAAAATTGTGGTAATTCATTACATTATTACATGAATTTTGTTAGAACAATATTTGTTACGAAATGATTGACCTTAAAACTCGATTATTCCCTTCCTCGAAAGCTGTAATCAGATAATCCAAGGGGCTAAAGGATCTTCAATGTGATATGTTGGGAAAAAAATTTAGATAGATAGATAAGGGGTTGTTTCGCATTCAATCAACTCATTACCCCATGTTTTTATTTCTTAAAGAGTTATATTCATTTCTGGTTATTTTACCAGAATTTTAGGCTAAATTTTTTTGAATTTTAGTCACTTTCTAATTATTACTTAAAAAATAAATTAATATAAATAAATACAAGATAGATATCTACCGTTTATATCTATTTTTTATTTTTATGTCTAAAACTCGCATTTTTACTCATATTATATAATATATAGTTTCTCCCTTATATAATTATATTTACTTTTTTTTTTTTTTAAAAAAAAAAAAAAAAAAAAAAACGTAAAGAACATTTCGTATTATTGCCGTTTTGAATATAAAAAACGTGCACGCATAATGCACCACTTAAGTCAAGGAGACGAGCTAGATTCATATGACGAAGGTAATATAAACTCCAAATTTTGGTTGCTTTGTTTATCAAAACTTTATTTTTAAAGAAAAAATAAACGAACTTTTTGGTTTGTTATTTTTTGTAAAAAGATCAACACGCGCAACGTAGATATCGTGTACATTCTACTTTAAGTTCACGGGAAATGATTAACTCTCCAATTTCAGCGGTGGAGCCTGACGAGCGTACACACCTTCTTCAAACTTCAAGGAAACAAGTTCGTAGTTGGACTAGCACTTTTTTGAAACGAACTTTGGTGTTGAATGTGTTTCCCGTTATGGTGGTAAATAATTAATTTAATATCACATTAAACAAAATCAATTCATGAAATTTTTTTTTTAATGATCATACTTTCGTTAAAAGGGAGATGATCTATCATTGACTTTGTTCTAATGCATTGCATTTTAGGTTCTTGCTTGGTGTGCGGTTCCTTTTCCTAACAATAATCCTTACAAAGATCCAGATAAAAATATATCGTCGGTTGATTACATTAAAGATAATCTTTTAGCTTATAATTCTTCGTCAAACGACACAGATTTATCTCATATTCCGGCTCCTAATCCCGAACCTGTAGAAATCAATTTTTGGTTTTTCTTATTTTTCTATTATGGCTTTTACAATGCTATAGCACTTTTGATGATCACAAAAATATTTGATTTATACTCTCTTAATTGGTGGCCAAAATGGCTTGGAGGATTCTTCGCATATTGTGTATTTTGGCTTATGTCGCTTGCCATTGGAATATTGATATATTTCTTTACTGGATTGGAAAAGCATAACCTAACATGGGTTATACTCACGTTTATGACAATGAATATGCCTCTCATAGTAGCATTCATTGTCATTCGGTCAGAAAATCGAAATACTTATCGACATTCACTTACCCTCGCTCAAAAAACATTTCTTGAACCTCAATTACTCCATCGTATACCAACTTCTTATCTTAGATTCTTGTGGTTTTGTACCACAATATTTCTTGTAATCATAGCATTCATAGCTGGTGAAGCCTACGCGTACGTTTTCTTAGTATCACCAGAAACGCATTCCGGTATAGATGCCTTCGTTTACGTTTATTCATGGCTCGCTACCATTTATATTTTAGACACGGTTACAGATTACATCCTTGAAACCAAAGTGAGATCATATCCCCTACAATTCACTTTCAAACTCTACTTTTTTATGATCTACTTTATCTTTTATCGAAACCTTTTCGCCCGTTTACGTGACCGTGATACATATATCCTTATCCAAGCCGCTAGTTCGCTGTGGGTTTGTATCTTTTATCCATTATGTATGACACGTACGGTTCACAGATATCTCGTATGTTATTTTGGACTTCGAAAAGAATATGAAGATTACCGAAGGCAATGCGGAAGGTCATTTTTCATAAGGAATTTAGCAGAAAATGCCACAATGCTTGGATTCATTTGTTGGTTATGTATAATAACTTATGGACCAAATAGTTCTGTATACCCGTACTTCAAATTTAACGATGACTTGTTCGATTTTGGCTTAACGATACGAGCGAGTTTCATTATTTGGGCATTCGAACTTGCAAGTTCTGCAATAACACGAAACATTTACAAGCGAGTATTTAATCATGATATAACACGAGAAGCAGTGATAGATCTTGAAACATATCCTGAAATGTTAATTACAATGATAGTAATTATTATACATGTTCTTCAGGTAAATAATTCTTTTTAATTCTAACTTTTTTAACAAATAAAAAATAATATTAATCAAAGTTTTTATCTTAATCAAAAAAATAAAAAATAAATAAATAAAAAAGGATATGTTAATGTTCCTTTTAAGTTTGAACTTTGAAGGCGGTAACGCCGCGAAGCCAAGACCGTGATGGTAAGTTTAAATTACACGTGATTTAACATTGTATTAAAAATTGGACCTTTTACTTATCGTTATCATATGATTCATATGTAATTTAGGAATATTCGTTATAATTTGTTACAACTTTAGAATTTAAACATACAACAATATGGTTAATTTATTTATATTTATTTTAATATTATTAAATAGATAGGTATTTTATATTGGGTAATCTTTTTTTTTTTAAAAAAAAAAAAAAAATTAATGGTTGTAAAGAACGCGCTGGGATGAATTATTTTCGCTTCTCTTCGATATCATTATTTTTTTTTTTTTTTAAAAAAAAAAAACTATATGTAGTTATTTATACTTATTATACTTATTACATTTCCAACTTATTTGTCATTAATGTTGAACAATGAATACTAATTTTTATTTCTTCTCATTTTAACTAAAAAGGAAAACAAAAAAAAAGAAAGAAAGAAAAGTAATGAATTTTTTAATTTGTACAGTATTTCCTAAAAAAAAAAACTTTTTTTTTTTCGTTTTTCCTTTTTTTTTTCAATCACATCTTGCATTATTAGTACACGTCTTTTTTTTTTATTTTTTTTTTTTCACACAAAAATAAAATAAAAAAAAAAAAGAAAATTCATTTGTTTTTAGAAGATAAAACAGTATTTGGGGAGGGTCAATTTTATTAATAAATTTAAAAAAAACTTTTTTTTAATATAATTAAGATAAACTATATAATTCGGCGATTTATTCGAAACGCACAAAATAATTATAATAATTATCTAATAATTACGTATTAACCAATTAAACTAATAAATTAGCAAAATAAACTTTATAATTAAATAAATGAGATCCAACAAAAATGTACAAAAAAAAAAAAAAGATAAAATAATAATAATAAACATATGAAGCTTCTTTTTTTTTTAAGATTTTGAAATCCAATTGATCATAATTTTTAAATATATTAAATATATTAGAATAGCAAAGATCTATCATTATGATCTTTTTAATTAAGAGAGTATATATATATATACATATAAAAAAAAAAAAATTTTCCAATTTTTAATATTCTTTCTTTTTCTCATCAATAGAAATTCCACCTGGACCCATATTTACCAACAACAATAAACCTCCCACAATGCTAAGGGTTTGAAAGAAGTCATATTTCAAAAAATCTCTTTGAGGATTTACATGATGAAGAGACCAAAAGTTATTGATAAATATATTAAAAATAGAAAGGAAGAGGACCAAGAAAGTAGCAGACCATTTAGCTTTAAACCCAACCACAACCATTATACAAGCGATAAATCCAATAATTGATATAGCAAAACGAGCAAGTGACCATTCTCCATGAAAAACGAAACCTATGAATAGAAAAATTAATAATATGCGACCCGCAAGTTGTAAATACATTTTACGATCTCTTTCAGATATTTGTGGTAAACCAGGAAAACCCGACTTCTTCTTGGAAAATGCATCAGAAAGGACCATCAATAATCCTCCAATAACTGATAAACCTCTTAATAAGAAATTAACTTCATTCCAAAGACCGTAACCAATAGATTGAGCGACAACAACTATGAAGAGTCCTCCAACTGCATATTCAGGAAATTTTCTTTTAACCACCAAAAAAGAACAAATAAACATCGTCTAAATAATTGAAGTGATTCGATTTAAACGAGTGGTTCGATCGTAATTTCAAATTAATTTGAACCTTGTATAGTACAAAATAAACTTCTACTTACGACAATGTTAAGAGCTAAAAATATGTGTGATAAGCCCCACGGCATGCTTCTGATTTTTTCGAGGTAATATAATTGATCAGTCCATTGAAACAAAATTCTAAACGCGTCCTCTATGAACGTTACTACAATAAGGAAACGGGCAATTGCCGGAATATGAGGTTTCAATGGTTGCGAGAATTTCTCGAGGATATCTTCAGCATTTGACGAGTACACTTTAACTTGATCCATTATTTAAAGGTAAAAACTTTCTTTTATTTAAAAAAATTATGTAACTTTATTCCTTCGTTTATTTAACAAGGTAAAAAAATAAAAATAAAAATAAAAAAAAATAAAATTTTTGAGGAAAAAAGTTTGACTTTCACGAATTGATTAAAAAAATAATATATAATTGCCCCTAATTAAGGTTGATAATTGTCGATAATTAATTTAATTGGATAAAGTTTAACTTGTAAGAAATTAACACGTTTCAAATTTGAACCTTTTTTTCAAAAGCCATTCCGCCTCACGCTAACCTTTCGGTTTTCCCGAAACGTGTCGGAATATTTATCGTGAAACTAGCCAGTTTTTTTTCCAGTAGCCACGTTATTTTGTATTGGGGAAATAGAGTTAAAATATAACAGAAAAAATTGGTAAATTTTAAAAATTTTGAAGCCAATCGGTTGAAAATTATATAATTTGAAAAAAAAAATATTTGATGATTTTATTAATTTTTTTAAAAACTGTTATTAGTAATTTTATTTGAAAATGATGATTTATTTTATAAATTTTTTTTTATTTTTTTAAAAAAGAAAATTTTTTGTATATTAAAATAAAATGTAAAAGTAAATAGAAAATAAAGATATTTTATAAATTTTAAGATATAATTTATTTTATTTAATAAAAAAAAATTAATATTATAAAATTCATAAAATATTTTTTTTTTCTATTTACTTTTACATTATACAAAAAATTTTCTTTTTTAAAAAAATAAAAAAAAAATTTATAAAATAAATCATCATTTTCAAATAAAAATTTATCTTTTACAATTAACTTATTTTTTTTTATTACTAATAACAAATATATTTATAATTTTTAAAAAATTAATAAAATCATATTCAAATTTTTTTTTTTCAAATTATATAATTTTCAACCGATTGGCTTCAAAATTTTTAAAATTTACCAATTTTTTCCGAATTTTACAATTATATTTTTAATTTTGATTGAAAATAATATTAAGATAAGTTTAATATATAAGTTATTATTATTTTAGAAAGTTAATGTAATATAATAAAAATGATGAAAAAAATTTTGGTTTTTTTAAATTTTAAGAATAAGATAAAGGATTAAAATTTAAAGAAATTGTTAAAGGTTTTTTCTTGAGACTTCTTCTAATCTTTGATATTCTATAATAACATTTTGGTCTATCATAAAAGCTGAATAATTAAGGTGTGGCATATCAACATTTTCCCAAACAGGATATCTGTTAAGGGCAACATAATCCTGATCAGATGAAAATATATTTCTATTTAAGGCAAGAAATACTTTAAGTAAAGTTAAACTTTGAGTTTTATAGACAGTAAGAGCAAAGGAATTTTGTAAAGGAAATTGAATACAGTGAGAATTGCTTTCATTTAGATGAAAGTAATGTGTTTGTTTATTGATATTGATATCAATTATTGATTCTCTAATAGAGAATGCAACTCAAACAAATTCTTCTATAGAATTAACATAAGTAATTATTCCTATTATTCTATTGCAGATTCTTTGATATATAAATGAATTATTTAAGTACATAACTTATGTTCCTGGTTGAAGACGTATATATGAAGGTAGGTTAGTTTTAGATTTAAACATTTGATCTGAAAAGAGAATATCCTATTTTTGAGAATTTATAACATCATTTGTTTTTAAGATTAAGAATTGGTTATCAGAAACAGGAAAAGTATTATATATCATTCTATTAATTTGTTAAGCAATTTCTCTAAAACCTATAATGTGAGTAGTATTAAGAAGATTATGAATAGGTAATCTAGTAGTAAATTCAGAATGACGTTGTTGTAACATATTCTAAGTTTCATTAGAAATAGAACCTGTTTGAACTTCTTGTAACATATTTGTAGAATCTTATATCAGTATGTTAACAATGAGATTTTTTTAAAAATAATGAATAAAATAAAAGCCAAGTAGCTGTGTAAAATATAGGTTAACTAGTAATAGAAGAAAGTTGAGCAAGATCACTAGCTACAATAATATTTATTCCATCAAAAGAAATGGTATTGTTGTGAAGATTTGCAAAAGTATTAGATATAAAATCAAAAAGTTCACTAAAAATCATAGACTTATCATTAAATATAATGGTATCTAATCTTTTTAAGTAATCATTAAAATCTTTGTACAAAAACTTTAAATGATAGTAATACATAATGATAAATGAATAGTTTGTCCTCCTATATTTTGTGCTGCTATTCTTGTAGGAGTAAATAAAAGGTAAGTTAATAATTTTCTTTTAAGTATATTAATAATCATATTGATAATATAGAATTTTTCAGTTCCTGCTAAACTGATAATAAAATAATATAATCATTTTATTCTATCATTTGAACCTATGTAAGTTGTGATAGTAAATAAAATATAGTATTAATCTTGTGATAATTCAAATATGACAGATTTTCTAGATATATATAAGAAAGAATTTTTAGGTTTTCCATTTGTATTTATATAATATGTTAGATATTAGTAGAGATATGTTAATTTAAAGAGTGAAGTAATCAGTATACCATTTTAATAAATTGGTTATTTAATTGAATTATTCATAATTGATAATTATTTATAGTTTAATTTTGTAAATCAGTTAGAAAATTTAAATATAATAATAAAAATTTTTTATAATAAGTTTTATTAGATCCAGTTTTATAATTATTTTCAGATATTGTAGGAATATTTAAAGTAATTATTGGTAGAAGTATAATTCTCCATATTTAATTTTAAGAAAATAATATCTAGTTATTATTTATTTGATTGTTTAAATATATAATTAGATAAATTATCATGATAAATTTGACATATTATATTAGAAGATCGAGAAGGTGAAATTAAATATTTTCAAAATATTAGTTATATGTAAGATTATTAAATTTAGGTGAATGTGAATAGAATATATATTTGATAATAATATTATTATAGTAAGAGTATTTATTATCATTATTTATTATATAAGCAGGAAGAATTGCATATGTTCTAGTAATAGGAGGTTCAGTAATAAGAAATTATACATTAGCAAAAGAGTTACAAATAAGGTGACATAAAAGAAGAAATATAAGCTCTATAATATTAAGTTTTCAAGTAATAATATGTTGACTAAAATGAGTATTTTCATATATATTAAATATATATGATATTTCTGCTTTACAATATATTTAAACATATATCAGATAAATCTTTTATCAGTTATATATTAAGCATTTATATAAGTATTCCAAAGTAGAAGAATTGCAAGATGATAAGAAATTATCCAAGAATCAGCTTGAATTAAACACTTATAAATATAATAAGAATTACCTTCTTTATAATAAGTTGTTTGACTATATGGACATAGAAATCCTTTCTTACAAATTTAATCAAAAGGTGCAGATCCTTGACAATAATAATTATAGATATGTATTTAATTTACTAAAACAGCAGTATAAAGTTCAGGTTTATATAAAGGATCTGAAACAGTTAATCATATAATATCATTAAATATCATAAATTCTATTGATTTAGTAATCTAGTAGCAACTATAAATATATGTAGCACCTTTATTTTAAAATTCAACTTGATCAAAGAAGTCTGTAATTTCTTCAAAATCTATAAGTTTAGGTTTTTTGTAAAGTTCTTTTTTTAAAGATTGAAATTTATGAACAAAATAGTTTACATAATTGAAGAATTTATTTGTAAATAAAGTATCTCTATTATTACTATTAGAGAGTATATTTAAAAGATGAAATTAATAGTTTTTAACTATACTTAAAATTACAAATAAAGTTAATAATCCTAATTTTTGATTATTACGTTAAAGTAAAGTTATTTTCGATAAAAATAAGTATTCCCAGTTTATATGAAAGAAGAAATAGAAATAGTTTTAGATTCATTAATTATATTACAGCCCTAGCGAAAAGAATGGCGAAAACATATTTCGACGGTATGTACAAACTTTATTTTAATGTATATTTTTTTTTTATTATTTATAAGAACAATACTAATGACAACTTTTATATTATTAATTAATATTTGGTATGTCCTCCTTCTGCATTGATACATACTTTAACCCAACTTGACTTGCTTTTGATGCACTAAAGTAATATGACATTATCAAGATCATCCCATTTCTGCTGGATTATATTAAAGAATACATTGCAGGTAATATTTTTTTTTTGCTACTAAATACTTGATCTTTTCTTTACCTTTCCCTTTAATACAGCCCATATATTTTCAATAGGATTCAAGTCTGGACTGTATGAATGTCAAGAAAGAACTCGTCTTAAAAGATGTTTTTTCAAGTTCTCTTGAACATTGTGTGAGGTGTGTTTTAGGTCATTATCTTGTTGGAAGATCCAGCTGCGTCTGTATAACATATTTGCATTATTATACAGATGGTTATCTAAGATTTTTCAATACAAATGATGATTCAAATTTTCAGTAAACAAATGAATGCTGATTTTTCCTTTAGCACTAATTGCTACCCAAACATGAACCTTGAATGGGTGCTTTACCATAGGAGCAATTGGTTCTGCATTATGAGACCATGCACACATGATATTTCTAAACATCTGAAGTGTTATTTCATTAAAAATAATAACTTTTTTCTAGTTGTATCGCAAATGATCACGTGTTTAAGACAAACAAAATTCCTTCACTTTTTGGGTCAAGAGAGGAACCTTTCTTGAAAGAATAGAAATATATCCAAGATTGTTGAGCTCGTGACGTATCGTACGTTTACTGACATCAAGGTTAGGATCTTTTTCTTTCAATTTTGACTTAATTTTGCCTGCTGTAGTAAAATGATTATTTTGCAGAATTTTTCCAATATGGCGACGTTGATTCAAAGCTAATTTTCTTGGACAGCCAGAAGAGTGACCAATAGAAATTTTGCCAGTTTTATTTAGTAAACTGACATATTATTTACATATGCGCAAAGGAATATACAATCGATTAGAAATTTCCTTTGCATTATGCACTTTTTGGTCCCAAAGTGATTTAACAGAATTTCT